ATCAAACTTAGTTAGATCCTGATACGCTGCTCATTTGCTGCATGTGTTTTTGATTTGTTTTTAATAACGTCAGGGAGCGGCACTCTGGTGGAGGAGTTTGTAGGGAGTCACGCTGCTGACACAAAGTTGGCGCCTCTCGGGTGCTCTGAATGCACCAGCTGCGCTGAGGGAGAGAAAGGTGGATGGTCTCCTGCGCTCCTTAGACCAGTCCTAGAGGACACATCGTTCCCTCCTGGGAAGCTCTCCTCTTGTGTCAGCCTTGCTGCAAATGGAAGAGGAGAGGTACCACAAGAAGTCGGTCCTGGAGTGGAAGTTCAAGGCAAAGGACTTTTTCTCGGAACTGTCTGAGATAGGAAGTCTTCCCTGATACTTGTACCTGATAGTTGTACTTAGAGACTTTTATACTCAAGGGACACTAGCTGCATCTTAAGAGACGTGGCAGCAGCATGAGGTGTTTGGAATCACAGAAGCCCTGACGGTTTGAGACTTAAGCCATCATATCAAGGGCTGGATTAGGGGAGAGAGGTGTTGAATGGTGTAGGTGGAAGTAGAAAGGGATGGTGGTGGAGTCGGGAAAGGGGTGGGTATCAACACTGAATCTATCGGTTATTTCTCTAATTGGGTAAATGTCTTTCATCTGCTCCTGTCTATAAAATGATAGTCAGATATTATAAAAAAAATTAAGACAGACTAGGAAGAAGAATTGGCCATCCACTTCTAGAATAACAGAACTTCTAAACCCTTTGTACAGTAGAGCACACTTAGCCTAGCAGACATGGCAATTGAGGCTGAGATCTCAGCTATGGAAACACAAAGGAGGAGGAACAACTGTAAACTGACACTAGTGGTTAGAACTTAGAATGTGAGAAGCATGAATGTAGGACAATTGGACATTGTTAAAAAAGAAATGGAACGCTTAAATATTGACATACTAGGTGTTGGCGAAGTGAGATGTCTTGACAGGGACATTTTGAATCAGATAATCATATGATCTACTATGCTGGATATGAAAAAGGTGATAAAAATGGGGTTGCTTTCATTATCAAAAAAGTAGTTTCTAGATCCATCATGTGGTAAGTGACAGGATAATATCCGTACACATACAAGGAAGTCCAGTGAATACCACTATCATTCAAATATACGCACCAGCAACTAGAGCCAAAGAGGAGGACATAGATGATTTTTATTTCAACTTCTGCAGTCAGAAATAGATCGAACAAGCAGTCAAGATGCATTGATAATAATGGATGATTGGAATTAAAAAGTTGGGAACAGGGAAAAAGAATCAGCAGCTGGAAAACATGGTGACAGAAATGAAGCTAGAGATAGAATGATAGAATTCTGCACATTCAGTGATTTATTCATTGCAAATACCTTTTATAAGAAACACAAGCACAGGCTATACACATGAATTTCACCTGATGGTATGCATAGGAATCGAATAGATTACATCTATGGAAAGAATTGCTGGAGAAGTTTAATATCAGCTGTGAAAACCAGGCCATATGCTGATTATGGAACAGACCACCAACAACTCATATGCAAGTTCAAGCTGAAGTTGAAGAAAATAAAATCAAATCCATAAGGAATCAGAATTTGACCTTAAGTCTATTTCACTCGAATTTCAAAACCATCTCAAGAATAGGTTTGAGGCCTTGAACACCAATGAGCATAG